TGGCTGGAAGTCCCGGCGAACCTGCTCGCGAAACGATAATTCCTTAATGGCATTTTCTGCTCTGGTTACCTTTTCTACGTATAGGTTTTACGGGATTCCGCGGGACCCGATTTACTCATGCTTCGCTATCGATCACGATCACATGTTCGATCAAATGTTATTTTAGATTCACATTCCAAGTAATGCTTCAATTTCAATTCGTTCAACTTCTGTCAGTGATGTTCAAATTTTAACGCGATGAGTTTTTTTCATCTCAACGCTCGTTGAATTGGTGAGACTTGAAGGGGAAACATCATAATTTTGATTACCAATAATCAAAATGGAGTAATTCTCGATAATTAATTAGATTAAATTTCTGACACGAACGATGGTTACTAGTAGCCAGAAAAAGTGTACTTTACACATTAACTTTTATAATAGTTATTCGCAATTAAAACTGAATAATTTTCACCATTTTATTTCTTAAAAAATTTCTTTAATACCTGTCGACTTCTTCCCTAACTTCCATTTAAGTAACAATCAATGATCTCTTCCAAAATATGTTTAAAGTAATCTTTTTTATATTTTTTTATAAATATATGTTTGAAGCAAGTTTTTACATATTGTATGCTACATCGTACAACGTGTATTTCATATATTTCATTATCTCTGCTTCTATAATTTATTCATCATTCTATATTTGTTCATCACAGTAAGTACAACACGAGTTTGTAAATCGATTATTTCTTAAATAATAAAAATATTTAAGATCGCATCACGAGCGAACCGAGAAAGTGAAATCCATAGTGTGTATCGGGTCTTGCTGTAGAAAATCGCTTTTCAACGACTCGTAGAGCAGCAGATTTGCGGATCGTTAACAGTTAACGTTGGTAGGCTGGCGAAATAGACGTGAAAACGGTAACTATTACGTAACGCAAGGTTGTTGGAGGTAATCGGGCGAAGTAGAACGTAGCAATGAAGCGCACGAGAACACCTTTGAATGACTCTTGCTCATAATTATTTCGTAGTTGCAGCTTTAGCTAGATTTTAGATGCACGCTTAAATGGAACGAATTCGAGCGAATGTTATATATTGGTCGATGTTGCGCATCCGCGGAACCCGCGGCCAATTTTCCAACGTCGCCATCGCGATGGCCGATGGACGCGGATCCCGTTGTTACGTTGCTCGAATGTTGGAATTTGGTTACGTGGGTGCTGATGGAAAAAAAAAAGTTTTTCGCTTGCCAGTTGCACTTTCTAGCAATCGTGAATGTCGGACACGGGCGTCGATCGTTTAACTTATTGCGACTTATCGTCGTAAATAATAATGTCAATGATAAATGTGTTGATACTGATAGTCAGATTCGAGTTTGAGAATAAAACGATTGTTCTTTCGCGAATGAGAGTGGAGGAATAATATTTTTGCGACGGAAATTCTAGAAACAAGCAGACGGTAGTAATCCATTAAAGACGATATTTCGTTTGCCATTCTTTCAATTTATTTATATATATTAATTTGTGCTATCAATATATTTTTCTAATATTGAGCTTATGGAAAGATATTCAAAGAATATCTTTGACTTGGTACTTTTTTTATCAGTTTTTTTTTTTATAATATTAAATATAAAGAATATATAGTACTAGGCTGTTGAAATGGCCAAGAGTTTTAACTTTCCTTCTTCAAAATAACGAAGAGTAGAGTATCTTTATTACTCGAAATTTTATTTTCGAATATCTGAATATCAAATGTCTATGTCGGATCTGTACTCGATCATTGTTGATGATGTTCAATGTTCGAAATTATACACGTAAAATTTGCAAACGGCGGCAAACGTAATATTACGAAGATGGACTTTAAAGGACCAAAGAGGCAAAATCAAGTTCATCATTATAACAAGAATATGAAACGTAAAGTTATATATACTTACATGTCCATTTCAAAAGTATATCACTCTTTATCAAAGTTGATGGAAAATTATTGGTATCACTAAATTTACTGAGGACTTTTTGCGAATTGAAATCAATTATTGCTTTTAATTCTTAATGGTTTACTTTGAATCCACACTTAATTTTTTTTTTTCGTAATTGCACGTAAAAGGAAACGCGTGTAACGTACCATCGACGCCCGGTTGGTTGACAATAAGACAGTAAGTTATTTGAAAGTTGACGAAAATTCTGTAGAGTAGGTAGAGAAGAGAAATCGTTTGAAGGATTGTAGCCGGTGAATCGATGTTTTTCCTCGTTAACCTGCATCTGTGGTGCTGTTCAGGCAAAGTGGACGAGAAAGCGACGCAACTGCACGCGATAGCGTCGCTAAAGGTGTTACTGGATGCCACCAGGCCGCACAACGGCGCTGCGACGTCGACCGCCGCCCATTACTCCGGTGCCTCGTCGAAAGAGACCACTCTGCAGCTGCAGCAAGGCTCCCAGGGCACCACCACGACCACCACTACGACGACCACCACCGCTGGCACCACCGCCGGCATCCAGGAACTTCCCAACGGTGGTATAGCCGCTGGCCTCGACGCGGGCCTCGATTCGGTAATTACTATATTCAACGAACCCTCGGATCTCTGAACTGAACTAGCTTCTTTCTTTCTTATTTTATTGTATTTCTTTTACCTACTTATTTATTTATTAGTGTATTATGTTTTATTTATTTATTCATTAATAATAATCAATGTTTATTAATTTATTGTACAGGAGTTGTACAGGGTGTCTCGGATAGAATGTTACGAGCTGTTTATTTTATTTTCGAATCTCCGAATTGTCAGCTCCTTTCTTTTCTATTCTATTATATTTGTTTTACTTATTCATTCATTTATTTATTAGTGTATTAATTTGTTGTGGAGGAATTGTACAAGGTGCCTGGCATAGAATATTTTATTTTTTGAATTTTTCTTCGAATCGCCTCTTTTTTCATTTTATTGTATTTGTTTCATCCATTTATGTTTTGATTGATGAACGGGATGTACTCTGTTGCACAGGGTAAATTCACGTAGAATATTGCCAACTGTCTCCCCGAAACTATCGATGCAGATATCGACTTGAAATTTTAACACGTTGAACAGAATGGAAAAGGAATTTTAGAGCATGAGTATTAATTTAATGTAAATATCCGTATGAAAGCAGCAACAGTCACATCTTCTCTTGTCTTTCGTTTTACAAAACGCAAGTTTTACAAAATTAAGATCAAAGTATGCTTTAAACTTTCTCAACGATGTTCATTTTAAAAAATCCACATATACTGTCGCTAGTGAAAAAAGCACTTCCTCCTCTATTGCCTTTTTCCAATTATCAACCAAGAAACAATTGCGTGAATCATCCTGTTCAATTTTGATTAAAGCACCAAACTGTACACTCCAGTTACATACGTTTATTACGTACGTATGTTTTTATTTTAGTGTACTTTCCGTTCCAAACAAAAAAAAAAAA